CGAATTTAGTAAGCGGAATAAACATAAGCAATAAAAGCGCATGCGCCATTTATCTCATTTTGGATAAAATAAATTCGATTTCCCCAGAGTCATGCCACAACCTAACCCGCGAACAGGCATACTCTGGGAACGAGATTGAGCTAGTGCCCAATTGCATCACGGGATTGTACTTGCCAAATGTACGATTGTTGGCAAATATTAAAACGATACGTTTATGTTGTTGCAAAATAATACTTTGTCATTGAATGTTTTGTTATTGTTAATGAATGTCATGTAACCGCCACAAAATTGTAGCAAAAGGTTACTTTATCGTTGCCAAATGTGTTATTATTGTAGCAAAATGTTACGTTATCGTTTCCAAATGTGTTATTGAATTTTGACACACGTCACCCGCCATACGGAGGAGCTTCCAAGCTTGGTGGGATTAGCGGATCACTTCCTTTAGCCAATCAGATTACGAGCTTCTTAGGATCGTGATCTGATTGGTTAAAATGAAGGCGGACCAGAAAGTAGACGGGTACCTACAAAATGGCGAAATAGCTGGTATGATGGTATCCTGGCGTGAAACTTTAAACTTTAGAACTTAAAATAGTTTAATTTAGGTTTTTAGTTGTGTTTTTAAACTTGATATGACATAAATAAGTAGTAAAGATACATTTTTAGACTTTTATAAGTTAGATAAAAAGCACAAAACACACCGCTAACTTTTTAGTCGCAATTCAATTGATCGTAAATTAGAAGTTCTGTTTTTATCTGCCTTATCTGTTTTATACCGAACGTAACCGAAGGGTAAATTACAAAAAAAAAATTTAAAAAGAAAAGTGCCCCATCAGTCCATACTTCCCGACTCTGCTAGCCCGTATCGGTCAAGTCCGTCTCGTGCTAGCCGCTAGAACGCCGTATGTTAACGTTTAAGCTAGATTTCGGCTAAACTCAACGCTATCGTCAGAGGCGGTGAATAGGTGGCTTACCAACCGGTATCGAACGAACTACGGGGGAGGGTGCCGGCGGCCCCCAGACCATTATGCCTGGCACCCTTTTCGCAAGATCCTATGATCGGTAACTACCACACATAAGTAATAGTAACGTTTCGGTATATATGTACGTAACAGTCGCCCGGTGTGGTGCATGTGGGACGCTTTAGCTCCGGTGTTTGCCGAACCTTTGAAATGAACGCATGCGCGATAGTCTGACACTGGTAGACGTAGCGCATGCGTGGGCATTGTCCAATCAGAACGCAGGGAAATTTCGCGCCGGTCCCGCGAGTTCGAGACATGTGCGCGACGGCTCAGAAATTTGTATACAACCTTGTTTTTAATAGTGAAAATATTAAAGTAAATACATATTATTCACATGTTTTTGCTTGTCGAAGGTTGAAATTTAAAGAATGTGGCTAGCCAAGGCGATAAATCGACTGGAAAAGATGAAGACGAAGTGAAATCTACACCGTCAATTATTAAACCAAGAGGTCACACCGCCGTAGATTTCTAGTACTGATACGAAAGGTACAAAGCTTTATATTTTTATATTTTGTACTGTTTTGTTTCCTTTTTTGACGATAGTTGATGAGAAAATATACTTGTCTAAAGCTTGTTTCAATTGTCAAAGGAGGAAAGTTCTTAGTTTGGCTTCATTAGTATGTGTGAGGCAGTGTGAAATATGTGTGATCATTTGTAATTAAGAATCCTATTTATAATAATTATTAACTTCCTTAAATATAGCCTGGTATATTCTTGTATACAGAATACACCCTTCTGCAAAATATCTCACTTTGGCCATAAAGCCTAACGTCAATCACAGAAAATGTTGGCCAAGGTCAGTACTTTCAAGGAAGTGTGTATATATATTGTCTTGAATTGTATGACTCAGCTAGGATATATGAAATGTTTGACAGTAAACCTCCAAATATAACCCCCCAGTCTGTAACTTGTCTGGCATTGTAAGTAAGAGTTATAAACCGAGTAGGAGGTTTATAACTGATATATTGACCCGAGGACGCGTAGCGTCCGAGGGGCAATATATCAGTTATAAACCGACTTATATCACACTTGCGGAGGTTTTCCAACATATTTTGTCATTTTCAAAAATTTTTAATGAAAAATTCTCGCGTTTTGTCTACAAGTTTAATCTAATCATTTATTCAAGGTCTATAAGCTAGTTATAAACCTTGGACGAACAAAGAAAACCGACGCAAGTGTGATATAAGAAGTGAAACAAGTGAGAAAACCCCCCAACACTATATTAAGAATCTGCACTTTAAGAAATTGGCGCTCAACCTCGTACCTAAATGGGTCGACTTGTACCAAGTATTTTTATCTATCTAACTAGAATGTAGGGAGGAAGCTAGAGGAATACCTGCACAAGGGCACAAAATGTGTGACTTATTACTGATGCAATTCAGGTTTGTTGTCGGCACTACGCCAGATAGTTTTATAACAGCACTCTAGAAATTTATTTTTAAAGATGTTTATTGATTATTGTTATAAAGAGATTGATCATTGTTTATCATGTTAACTATTATTAAAATTTTGCAAAAAACCTTTACATTCTCGTACACACTTTGTTTTGTTTTAAGACTAGAGACATATCAACAGCTAAAGAGTTCTACAGTAAAAAAAGTTCTCATATAATCTAAAGAGTCAATACATAATGGTCTTACTCTTCCCGAAACGTTGAAGTTCTTGTATTTTTCAGGTAGTTGTATCCCTATCAATCCAAAGCTTTCTTGTCCAGGGGCCATTTGTTCGAAAGCCAACATTAACATCATTAACCCTAGGTTAACCAATAACCTAAGGCTACGTTTAGACTATATCAGATAGCTTTCCATAGAATGTAGCTACAACTTTCAGAAGCTGAGTGAAACAATGTCTCTCTGTTGCAATAATCCACCAACAGCTTTTGAAATTGAATATCATTATAGTTATTATGGTTATTATTAATTTACATCAATGTTTTTTTTTAAATTTTAGTTAAGAAGTATAATTTTTGACTTCATGCCACTCATCGCCACTGATAGTAAAATTGCATTTTCTATAACTAGCCAGCTTTGGCAACCTGATTTTGCTGACATAGGAAAATAATGATTGAATAGGTAGTGATAAAGTGCAGGGTACTCCTGCCATTTCTGCCATTGTTGTACAATATTGCATATGTCGTTCCACACCCAACAAATGCATCATGTTTTTTGACAATCCCTGCTTTAACCTCTCTTGATAATCAAACGCTTCATCCTGCACCATTTCCTCTTTGTTCGGTAACATTATCCTTCCGCTTAAAACAGCTGCAATGCACTGCGCTTGTGCTGCGAAGGTTAGAAACGGCAAAATCCTTATGCAAAGTCCGATGAATGACAAACTTGGGAATTTAGTAGAAAATGTATGTTTATACAGTGATGTCACACGACTATTGGTTACATTAATATCGCATTCTGGTTCCAGAAACGAAAACGAATAATTATAACCAGTGCACAGAATAATTGCATTCACATTTTGTAACAACTTTTCATGGTTTATCTCAATACTCCCATCTTGAAAACAAGTTGTTAATGTTCCTATCACCTCTTGAACGTTTTCAGGAAATTTAACCGGAAGCTTATTGCGTAAATGAACAAGGAACACTTTCTTGGAAAAGTTGGAAAGTTCCATGGCGATATCCAATCCAGAAGAACCTGCACCCAACACAACCACATCTTGATTTTGGTAGTCTTCTGGTTTGTCGTAGTTAACACTGTGGATAACCTTTCCAGGAAATGAGTCAAATCCAGGAATTTCTGGAAACCGTGGAACTGAATAATGACTGTAAACATGAAAGATTAGCTTAAGATATTTCTTAACTGCACATCCTAGTATCCTACAGTTGAAAACCTATCACTTAGCACAATTGTGAAACAGATGGTGGTCAACCTTTAGTTATACGAGGTCCTGTTAGGGTAAATTCTGACTGGTGACATTGCCTTGAAATGGTGACATATAGAAAATGAAATAGCAATTTTGCAAACAAAAAAGTCTGTCTAAATTGTGACATAGCAATGTTATCAAACAGGGACATTACGTTTTGAATATCAGATGAGGGACATGTATATATCCACTCTAACAGGGCCTCAGTTATCTGCATGAGTGAGAAAATGATGTTAATTATTTTCATAATATCTAGTACTGTAGTAGTCTTGTATTTGGAGACAAAGATATAGATTATGAAGGGTGCATGGGCCTGTGTTTTTGGACTCAAGATCAAAGAGAAACTTATTCATATCGGAAATACGAGGATTACGGGAACCACTGAGTATTTTAATAAAATATAAAGCAATGGTAACTCTGAAAATAAACATTTTAAAATTAATTAATTTAAATTTTTTTTAAGTATTTTTTTAATTGAACGTTTAAAATTAAAATGTTTATTTTCGAGTTACCATTGTTTTATATTTTAAATAAGAGGATATTATCTTCATGGACCTTCATGTGTGCCAGCCATGATAAAATAGCAAACATATGGAAACAAAGCCATTGTGGCATACATGCAATAAACAGTAAATTCTATTTGTGCAATAACCTACCCATTGCATACAACAATGGCATCAAAAACAATTTTATGAGTTGTTTCATTAGTTAAATCCTTCACAACAACATCCCACACTTCTTTCTCTTTATTTCCTGGTTTAATGGACAGAACTTGGTGGTTAAATTTAATATATTTCTTGAAATTGAAGTGTTCTGTGTAGGTTTCTAAATATTTTTGGACGTCTGCATTTGTTATAAAAGATGGTAGGTCCTGTGGAAATGGTAGATCTGGGTATGCCATCACCTCTTTGGGTAAATTTGTCCTGCAAGAAATCAGACATACTGATTAATCTATTTTGTGTAAGAAAGGGTAAAATAACAATGTAGGATGTGTTGGACAGTTATGAAGAGAAATTATCACAGATAGTCTGGTTACCATCTGGATAACATCAGAGAGCTTTAGATTTGAGTACAAGTACAACAACCTTCTTACAGGCATGGCAGCAGTTAGGTTTTTTTTGCTTAGTCAGACGTCTGTGTGCAGGGACGTTGCAAGGTATGTGTGTTTTTGTCTCCCGATATTTTGACCAAGTTTTGCTGAACATTTTGCCAAGTCATCTCGACCACTAACTAATATTACTTTTCCCAAAATTGTTGGGGGGGGGGGGGCAATAAAATTTTTCTGTACATTATATTCTCAAATTTATTTCTGCTCCAATTATTCCCACTTATTTGATTAAAATACGTTATTTACATCAACAATACCTAAGGTTTTTGTACATTGCTGTACTATTATGTTCACTAACAGCGTGTCCACTGTCCTTTGTATAACGCCAAACTCCGCCAATGTCGCATGCTTTTTCAAATGCAACAAAGTGAATTTGTGGTTCATTTACCAAATATCGACACATTGCCAGACCTGCAGCGCCAGCACCGATAACAGCGACGCGTGTCTGAACCATTTTGTAGCCCAAAGTTTGATGTGAATTTTGTTTGAAATTGTCTCGACCACTCCTTCACGTAAAATTTTCGTTTGGAATATTAAATGAATTGTTTGTACAAGGATTGTACTTCATATAAGCAACTATGAAAAATACCTCTTGTCACATTTCCTGATTCAGATCTACGTGCATGTTATTCGAAAAATACAATGGGAAACGTCATTTGGCCAAAGGCAGTTACATCACTCAGCTATTTGTGCAGATCGCCAACTCAGAATATTCTTCAGTAACATTTATCAAAGTCTGAAAAGATCTACCTCAATTACACTTGATTAAAAAGTGATATAAGAAGTGCATTAATACGTCATACTCTCCGAAATAGTCCTCATTAACATTGATCAAAACCTGAAATCGGCTCTGCCTCTGCAAAACAAGGTACTTCCAGTACTTTATGTACTACAAAACAACGTGGAACAAGCATGGCCGCTGAACTTGAAGCGATTTTAGGAAGGCTTCTTGTTCCCGACAACGCTGTGATTAAACAGGTAAAAATATACTTGTTAAATGGACCAGGTACTATAGTTATACATATGGACTGACTTATAGACTTGTACATTCGTAACATTTCCAGGCAACAGCTGAGTTAAGAGTATTTTTTCAACATCCTACTGATCAAATTGTTCCAGTTTTGGTGACCGTGTTAAGTTCATCACAAAGTCCTCAGGTATGGAAGTGCTAGAGTTCGTGTAGATCTAGTACTGAAGTTTTGCAGAATATGTGGTACAAACTGCTAACGCTCAGTGGCCCTCCATTGACCGTCAGTCTGACATTGTGTTTGAACCTGTATTGGGCGTGTATTATTAAAAAGGGTCTGCTGATAAATACATTTTGTCCAATGATTACATACATGCAGTTACTTTATGCTGCCACCATACCTCTCTCCATCCCTCACCCACCATCCCTCACCCAGCTCTCCCACCATCCCTCACCCACCTCTCCCACCATCCTTCACCCGCCTCTCCCACCATCCCCCACCCCATCTCTCCCACCATCCCTCACCCACCATCCCTCAACCACCATCCCACCCACCATCTCTCACCCAGCTCTCCCACCATCCCTCACCCACCTCTCCCACCATCCTTCACCCAGACCTCCCACCATCCCTCACCCACTTCTCCCACCATCCCTCACCCACTATCCCCTCTCCCACCATCCCTCACCCACCATCCCTCACCCACCATCCCTCATCCACCATCCCACCCCACCCACACCAACCTATTAATACCCCAACCTGCACCACACACCAGTTCATCTCTTTCCCATCACAGAACAAGTCCTCAACTGCAGGATGAAGTCTATTTGTCAGGATGAAGTCTATTTCTATTATTTTGATACTTCCAGGCAAGACAGTATGCTGCAATATTACTGAGACGACGTATTATCAAACAATGGCCAAAACTAAGTCAAGAACTTCGAAACTCGTAAGAACATAAAATTAAATATTGGTCATGATTTTATCGTTAACCATGATTGTATCAAAATAAGTCATGAATACAATTTCTTTTTATCAGGTTGAAACCAACCGTTTTACAAGTGCTGACTAACGAGACAGAGTAAGTGACGTTCAGGCATTTTAAAATAAAAAATTTACCATCAAACACTTACATATATGAACCTTGTTTTTGTGCATGTGACACATTAAAGCCTAGCCAAAGTGGATTTTTTTCGGTAGGGTGTATTGCATTTGCTGCATTTTAGAGTTAGAAAATTGGATGGATATATCTAATATTTTGTTTCATATTTATAGGAGAATTGTATGCCAGTCAACAGCCCAAATAGTAATTATGCTTATATTATTGTTTTCTTGCAGTGTGTTGCATTTTGCATTTTATCAGGGATGGATTTACTGGGGGGGTGCCACCCCTTCCCCCTAGCCCTGGGCAGGGGGGTGCTATTTTTCATGATAAAGCAAAAAATTATTAGAGATAAAATGAGATACAGTAATTTGAGTAATAACATGATGATAAGTGAACTGTGAACAACAATTACAATTCAAATATTGTACTAGTCAAGCAAGACTTTGCAGTAGTGAAGCAAGTTGATGGCCGGGCGGCACACATGACCGACACAACTCGGCACCAGAGCTGGCAGAGCAACCCC